TTGATGAAGCGTTGGAATGTTTGGGCCGCATTCCGGAGGCCGAATGGCATACGTAGGAATTCGAAAAGTCCAAAAGGCGTGATGATAGCTGTTTTCGGAATATCTTCCGTTGCCATCGGGATTTGGTTATATGCTTTAACCAAGTCGATTTTGGAGAATATAGATGCTCCAGATAACGTTGCCGTCAAGTCGTGTATGTGAGGCAATGGGTAGCAATCGGGGGTAGTTTTGGCGTTCACTCGCCGGTAATCACCAGTGGGTCGCCAATCGTTGCTATCCTTTTTCGGTACCATATGCAACGGGGATGCCCATGGACTATTCGATGGCCGAATGATGCCAAGGGTGAGCATATGATCGAATTCGTTTCTGGCAATTCTCAGTTTGTCAGGGGCCAGTCGTCGTGCTTTAGATGTCACGGGCTGTCCTGAGGTTATGATGTGGTGCATAACATTGCTGGTTATACACGGGAGGTCGTTAGATGGGCAATTGAGTTCCGGATATTTGTCAACAATTGGTTGAAAAGTCGGATCGAGGATTGCTTTCATTTTAACGATTGACAAGCTGGGGCCACTGTAAGTTATGCCTTTGATAGACAAACTAGTAGTGTTGTCAATTAGTCGTTTACGGCGGACGTCTACGAGCAAATCATGATGATTAAGTAGGTCCGTGCCAATGATGGGCATTGTGACGTCAGCGATTAGGAAAATCCACTGAATAGGTTTGCGTAAACCTACGTTCAGATAGACGTATTTCCGACCATAGGTTGCAATTGGTTTTCCATTTGCAGCCTGTAGGTTGAAGTTAGGATCCTTCTGTCGATCTGCTGCTGTAGCAGGAAGGACGCTGACTTCGGCGCCTGTGTCGACTAGATATCTAGTCTGGCTAATTACATCGTGGATGTAAAGTAAGCGGCTAGTGCCACCGGCGACGGTTGCCGCTAACGCGTGCCGGCGGGATAGTTTCCCACAGACTTGGAGGCCTTGTCGAAATCACAAGGTTTTCGACAACATTTCGCTTCCTTGCCATAGGTGTTGTGATACCAACACCAGTCAGGATTTTTGAGAGAGCGTGTGTTGGACTTAGATCGTCCACGTGCGCTTTGCCGTTGAGGGGATTTAGAACGACGATAGGAGGAATTGCTAGGCTTGTTTGACCTAAGCATCTGCTGGACGGAGTTGATTAACTCTATCATTGCAGAATCCTTACTCGAAGTCTGTTCGGTAACTGAGTATACTTCGGTAACTGGCCGTTTCGTTATCTCTAGAATTCTATCTGCAGAGACAGCTAAATCATCTATGAGAACACCCTGAAGTGTCACAAGTACAGTCTGAACTGACTGTGGCAGTTTGGATAAAAATAGTTCTCTGAACAGTCCTTCATCGAACTGACTTTGGCCAATGATCTCTTTCATTCTTGCCAGCATGCTCACGGCTGACTGATCTCCTAACTCGATGTTACGAAATAACTCATCCAGACGTTGTCGATCTGTGAGAACGTTTCTCTTGAGGATGGATGCTTTTAGCAACTCGTACGAGTTACTTACCGACATCCGCAGAGTTACGCACTTGTTGAATTCCCGCGGTAGGGCGTGAATAACTGCAAGGAACTGTGAACGTTGATCAGTTATGCCATGTTCACAAAAATCGGACTCAGCAATCTGAAACCACGTTTCAGCATTATCTGGCCAAAATGGTACTAGCTGAATTGTTTTGGCGGTTGAGCGAATCTGAATAACCTTGGGGCTAGGATCACTCATGACGAAAAGTGTGCCGATAACAATATAGTACAAGAATAAACACAAAAAGGAACGAACTCACCGGGATTATCTGCGTGTGAATTGAAGATGTAGTTCGTGGTTGGGCTCACCAGTTTAGGGGGCTGCAAGTATCGACGTTCGCGAGTTGTACGGATTATACTAACGCAAGATCTTATACCAACAACCACTATAGTGTTCGTTCTTCGAGTACCAAATGGTAAAGCAAAAGACCAGATTTTGTCGTCCAAATACGATATATATTTTGGGACCAAATCGCGGGTAGGAATGAATGCTTAGCTAGCTAGTAATCGTGCACGCACGTGACACGACGAAGAGCACCAAATGGCGGGGATGCTTGACCGTAAGCCTTCAGCTAAACAAGTCGACTTAAACAGTGATGGTCAGCATCCAATGTTGAGTGATGATTGCTGTGGTCAATAATTTTGGGGAATTGTTTACCGCTACAATAGCTTCATTCTGTAAAATGCGTTCATAAACATAACAGATTTTTCAAGGAATTTCCTGGCGAGATATTTTCCTCAAGTGCAGAATCTCCAGATAATATAACAATCGACAGTTTGCCATCCGAAGCAATATAATTCCATCGAAAGTATGCCACGATGGTGCTTTATAATGTTCTTCCTCTAATTCCCTAGAAAAACCAGCGGTAGGTAGGTGCTTGTTTAAAGTTGCGCGTGGGTATATGTTACGATCACAGTGGAAATTGGATGATTAAAACAGTTTGAAGCGGGATCAAATCGATACACTTCGATAGACAGAAGGTGCACGTAGTCCAGCGATTTAAGAAGGCCGATGTGGACTTTAGAACGTTATGTCTGCATATGTGGTCATATAAGGTCCAGATCATTAGAAGAATGAAAGTAAATTACGAGACAACCCCACTTGGGCAGGGTAAGCCTACAGGCCACGCCTAGTATGGTTAGTGGTGGACTCAGAGAAATTACTGGGGTGAAGCTTAAGACAATGCTGTGAATGCCGCGGGATCTGTGTGAGTATTCCGTAGCTTCAAAGCCAAAATTTTATAAACACAAGTGTGAATTCCATGAGCTTGTCCTAATAGTGGACAATCTATTTATATCCTTTGTGACTATCATTGAGAAACTGCCTGTGTCTCACCAAGATGAGAAGCTTGAGCTACTAGAGTTTAGTTTTTGTATAGCAGTAGAGTTATTGTTCGTAAGGACTGTGAAATAGTTCTGCTGGCTACTAACTCCCTGCGTATTCTTCCTTAGAAATCTAAAATGCTTGAAAGCAGGAGATGTGAAGTGATCACTTATGAGACCGCTTTTAGGAGATAAATGCCCCTCACTAACACCTCATTTTGGATTACTACATGAAGAATATATATAGGGTGGCAACACATGGGCTCATTCGGTGGAAGACTGCCAGCAAGTAAGAGTATCGTTCCGTGTGTTTAAACATTGACAGATTAAGACACTATTCTGCCTCCAGTGATAGGCTATATTTTCGCTTTAAATACTCCGAAATCAGCAGTCACCGCAGGACCTTGGTTTGCCAGTCCAAGGAGGCATATAAATCGGGGCTGATTATGATACAGGGCTATACTAAAGGACTTTTCTCGTATACAAGGGGAAAAAGCAGCAAAAGTGACGGTGGTTTTGATCTGCCTGATTGTTAAAAGGCTGAGGATGTTGAGGTTAACGGATAGTACGGAGTATATTAACGCAAGATCTGATATCCACAACTTCGGCGGTATTCGTTCAGCGTAGACCAAAGGCAAAGGAAAATACCAGAATTGATAGTCCAAATTACGAATTATATATTGGGACCAAATCGAAATGTTAGGACGATTGCTTAACTAGATAGGGACCGTGCACGGACAAACGTAACACGACGGGGTGCTGAATGGCATGGGTGCTTGACCGTAGGCTTTCAGCCAAACAAGTCGACTTAAACGGTTCAGGTCAACATCCGTTATTCACTGATTAATGCTGTCGCTAAAAATTCTGGGGAGTTACTTGCGGCTACAATAGCTTATGTATTCTGTGATGACCTTAGTGTAGTTTTGGTAGCTATCTTCGGAAGTTTCTTAGAGATGGAATCAATATACATGAAGAAGGGAAACGACCCGTCAAAAACTGCTTCCAAAGCTTATTCCCGTGCCGCTGATGAACCAAATCCGTGCACGCAATGAGCAATCCCCGAAACCATAGCCAAACTGTTGTTGGTGCTGTTCCCTATGTTACTGAGCTAGTGCAAGTCTTTAAGAGATTGGAAGGACGCCATCATTAGTAATGTCTTAGAAATGAATAGTGTTGCCCTAAAAACAATTACTGACCATGGGGACTTATGGATGATTGCATGTTATGAGATAGAGACCTCGATGACTCGAAGGTGACTTTGAAGAGTTTAAGAGTACTATGAGCTTCATAAAGGGCTTATGTAGACTTTGATGTTGATACATTCTTCACATTACTTTCTAGGTACGTCGAATCTAGTTCGAAATACAGGATCCAGGCAACTATCCCATACCTCTCATGTGAAGAGAGACCAGGCCGAGTACACTTATCCCCATAGGCATGTGGGAGGTTGGCAGGAGGTCTCGTACTGTCTTAATAATTCCTTTCACTAGGACCAACCGGTTGCAGGACATCGCCTTTATTTTCAGAGACTTCAAGTAAGTTGTCAATGACAAGAATTTCGTTTACAGCATGGAATGGCCTACCAGGAGCACATCACTTCACTATTTGCTGCTGACTCACTCTAAGTAAGACTGAGCCTCCACTGTGCAGTCAGTCTGAGGGTCTGAGATATGATTAGAGCTGACTATACTTGCTGACCTGGAAACCTCTGAGATGCTAATAAGGTTTCTCTTAATTTGGTGAACGAAAAGCCAGTACAGAGCAGAGGGAAGGAGTTAGTATTGCTCGTCACACTCATTTTAAGAATAATTTAATAATTCCTATACCGTAGTGAAAGTGAACTAGAATACCTGTTTGTCTTCCTTGCACTAATGACGACCTGGAGTGAGATAATTTTTTCAAAGACAACATGAACTTAGCGCTAAATTTTTTAACAAACGGTTAATCATTAAGACACATTTTAAGTAAATTTTTATTCATGAAATTTACTTACTAGTTCACCATTCTAATGCAATGCAAGTGTTTTGTTTGTTTCGACTGTGCCTGGTGCACATCTGATTGCCTTGTCCGGTTTGGCTGGCAGGGGAACTATTGTCTTTCATTACCGGTTATCTTTCAGAATGGTGAGTTGGTATATTAACTTGATTGTGATACTGATTGCAAAAATAAGTATTATCGCACATCCTTCCGTATTGTGTATTCGTGTGTGACAATATTGTGCACTAATTATCTGGTGACGTCTTGATTTTGGACTCCATCTTAATTGTGTAAATATTCACATATGACCTTAGGAGTTAAAGATTTATTGCAGTATCTACCTTCTTAATTGGCTTAGGACTTCCTATTTTAATATTTAATAATTGTGACGGAAAATATGTAGTACCTAAGTTGGCTTTCATTCGGATTCCTTAATGATGTTCAGAGTCACCAAAAACTTTTGGAAACCGACGACTGATATGTGATAGTGCTAACACAATGCTCCTCACTTTCTTGGGCAACGAATTGTTGCCATACAAGCCTAATCCGTGTAGCACTCCCCGACATTCGTGATCTTTGGCGCAAGCGTAATAATTGTATATTCATTAAAGGAAGTCTGTACTGTGCAACAATCCGCTTTCTTCACTACGACGTCACGACATTCCCTTTGAAAGTGAAAGATAAGAACGAGACTAGCTGTATTTGACAATAGGTGTATGCGTTCCACCTTTTATTTCAGGTGGCAGAATATAGTTAGCAGTATTGAGGTTATGCTTAGTTTGTGGTAAGGAGAAAAACAAGCCAATAAAGTTGTGGAACCTAACTTTAATTATTTTGGGATATGGTATAAGTCCGACTGGAGTGGTTGCTGACGAAACCCTATCACAAATACAAAACGCTCGTGTGGTATTTTCCAACTATAGTCATCTCTAGTGTAGATGTGATATCCGGTTATCGATGGAAAGACGTGTACTGCATACCGGTTCACTCTGACCTTTATTACTGAGATATTTCCATTGAAAGTGGGAGACATAAAGAAGCTTGCTGTCTTTGACCTCAGATGTTCGTTCCGTGTTGTGGTATTATATGGTGAATAATATTAAAGTAAAACGTAGTGTTAGGTTAGGAGGGCAAGTTAACCAAGGAGGTCGTGAAGATACATCGACTGAAATAGCCAGAAAACATTACACATGTCAAGCCATTACCTTCTTTGACTAGTAACGTTAGTTGACACATGGATAGGTTTGCAGGAAATCCATTCAGTCTTTGACTGTTTGAGCCTTGTAGAGGGGTGTAGATTGTCTGGTTGATGCTAAAGATCAGCGGTTAGAGATTTGGCGAAGTGACCCAGAATCATTCTCACCCTTTGTGATCGTATAGATCCCAAGTGTCCATGTGATCGTTGTCTGCTATGCATTCCCGTTTTTTGTAGTTATGTTGTGTTTCTTTTCCACATCTTCGTTTGTGCTTGCATAAATTGTATTAACTCGGACTTTTACTCAAAGGTTTGCATTGAAAACCAAGACTTAGGTGTTTAGGTGATTCAGATATTTTGTTTGGGATGGCCATTTTACTTTTCTGCGAATACTGGATAGTTGTCTAAACTCTTTAGGAAGAGGAGAGATGGATAACTCAAGTTTTGAGTAATTTCGCTTAAATAAAACTTTTTTGTCCGTGGTTGGGAGTACAAAAACCTGGTTCTGAATCCATCTTTAATATGGTAAAAGAGTCATCAAAACGATCGTGTTTGTAATTGTTCTTTGATCTCCACCCAATAAGTAAATGAGCTCTTAAGCAATGGCTTACCATTCGTATACGGTTTTTCAGTCTTTAGTAGATTCTGTATACAGCTATGGATGTTGTTGGGGATTCTAGTAAGCGTTTTGCGTATCACCCTTGTAGTTTAAAAACCTGGAGTGCTGCCCCGTGGCAATCCTTCATGGATTTCAAGTTGTAACATAACTCATTAGTCAGCGTTTCACTCAGAGTAGAGGGACCCAGTATCATAGCTGTCGCTACTTGTTTACTTTACGTACCATCTTACTAAATAGGCCAGGAAACTCTTGAGATTTATTTAATTATATTCCGTTGTCTCTGAATCAACTGTAAGTGTTAGGCACACTAATTTATAGGAGATATCTTGACACTGATTTATGTGTGCTCAAGACAATTAGTAGTGACTCAAGTATCGAACTTGGTGACCCTACTTTTCCAGCACCGCAAAGCTTTTTTATTACCTTCTGTTTCTCACCAATAAGGAATCTACTTGAAAGTGGATTTCTTGTTAGGGCGAGTTGTATGTGTTTTGAAAGATCACAAAAAGGCCGGATGGAGATGTATGGACTCATGTGCTTGTGTCAATTGATATTAGCAATTTAGAAAGTGTAGTATACCTGGTCTGTATGCACGTAACATTAGGAATCTATAAGTCGATACTCTAGATAAGATGGTCTCAAGTTAGTTGCAAGCATTTTTGCCTATCTTTAATGACTATTTCTTCTTTCTACATTGATCTTAAATCATTTAACGACCTCCATATTTCATATTCACTTTCTCCTCATTTCATTGTTTTCACATTGATTTGCAGGTAAAAGGTGTGGTAACTGACTACAGTTGTCAGGGGGAAATCACAACCATATATGCTTAGATTTTTGCTCAAGGTGTTCCAAAGGTTGCATTTTGTTAGCATCTTGACCTACACGAACTATGTCATCCATGTATTCTAGGTCAATGAGACCTTTGTGTGATGGCAAGTTGACCTCTAAGAAGTCGAAGTCGACCAGGGTCACATCCATCAATAAATCTATGACGAAATTAAGTAAGGATGGTCCAAGTGGACATACATGATGGGCACCATTGTTGTCGCTTCTGTTGACAAACATTCTTAAGCTCTTAAACAGCTGCATGGGTTCAAGTAAAGCGCCATGACAGGTACCACATACAATACAATTGTTCGACAGAGATACATCGCCATAGGACCTCACAATTGATGGAGTGAAATGCTGCCTTTTGAAGATGAATGGCAAGTGGTGAAAACCGGTAAGTAAGCCATGTTACGGAACCTGTCAAAAGATGAAGAAACGATCAGTACACCTTCCCGGTCTAAAACCCGCCTTCTCTTGGGTTTATTTTGCTCATTTTGTCTTGGCAGGACTATGCCACCTCCCTAAAACCTTAGATATTATTTTGGTCAAGTTTATCCTCCTGTAGTTATCACAAGATTTGTCTCCTTGTAAACTGGGATAGTCGATGATAGACACTTCCTTTGAAACTATCTCTGATTTCCATATGCAAGCTAATCCCAAAATAAATGTAGTCAGTAATTTATCACCATTCTTAAATAACTCGCTTAGTCTTAAGTCAAGCATCCACATTCAAAGAACTGTTGCTCACATCGCATAACTGGAGTCGGATTATTGGTGAATTTAGTGCAGGTGGATACCGTTTCGCTGTCCATCAGCCAACTATAACTAATGCCACTTACGAGCTAGGTGGAATGACCAGTGTACTCAACCACTTCATTCCCTGTAGTATGATCGGATGTTGGGCAGGCTCGCTAATTCGTTGTTTGGTGTATCAGTAAATGTCTTAAAAAACTAAAAACTGCATAATCTGTCTTTCTGTACAACTATCAAACATGATTAGTGTGTAGTTTTGCCAAACATTATCTTTAAGAAGGTATTCTTAACACTGATTACGTGGTAAGACTGCTGAGGTTAAATGTATAATTGTATTCAAGTTTAGGCAGCTTTACTTCTTAACCGCACGGGTAAAATATTAGTAAATCTAAACGGGACACTTAAACTATACATAGAGTAAAAACGCTTCAATTGAAGTGAAATTCTAATAAGTATATACCACTCAGTAGTTTTGAAGTATTTCACCTAGAATCTCTTGGTATTTAGTAATTATTTATTGACTTCAGCTTAGCTAACCTACGATCTCCCAAACTATTTTGACTAGGGGTTAAAAAGTATGGATTTACTTATCAACATTTTGGCTTTTCGTTTTAATCATTTGTCAACGCTTTTCGAAACTAATTATGGTGTGGTACGTGTTCAGAACGTAAAATAGATGGGGTCCGCGGGACGGTAAAAACCAATGTCTGGAGACAATTGGTGATATGGCTCAAAATCGTTCCCAATGGCGCAGATGCATCCCCTCATTGTGACTTATAATTCCCAATAAAACCAGATTCGTCTTCGATATTACTATTCTTTTCGCCTCATATCTCTCTCTACTGTATCTATTTTGCGTTTCTGTTTACTTTCTTCTCTGGTTTTGTGGGCTGAGTGAAGTGTGGCGGCTCGAACTGCTGCACACCGGTGCAAAATTCTATGTTGAAACCAGACAGACACAGTAAAATAGATGTAATTGTTATCCAGAAACTGATGATGTGTGCAGTTATGTCCAAAAACTACCTGTTTCTTGTCAGCACTGGTTCTATTGGGAAATCACTGACCTCAGTCTTCAGTTGCTTTAGAAGATTATTACTGCTGCAAAAATTAATCAATATAAACCAGATGAAATGACTCAAAGTTGTTTTCTAATTCTGTGTAAACTATGAACATTTTCTTTTTGACAGGTGCTGTTTTGTCTTATTCATGCGTGCCCTACTTTTGGTTTAACACTTTCATCTATCGGCTTTTAATTCTGTAGCACTCAGTACAACAATGTCAATGTGCATTACTAGATGGGATTTCTTTTTAACTTCGTGATGTTAGTAATTGCTAGAGTCCTGTACATCTTAATTTTATTCAGAAAGTGTATCAACTTTATCAGTTTATTTGTTTTCTTAACCTATTTCTCAAAGAGGAATGTCTGTCGTCTGAGATGGGATTCCAAAGGTGTGGTTCCATTCTTTTTGATGTTATTTGCGACTGTCGCATTAACAGACTATTCAGAAGATGAACTGTGTGTAAAACTGACTGGTCTATTAAAGGAGCTACATCAAGATATATAGTTTGGTCTAACGTATTTAATTTTTGTCTTACTACAATTAGTTTGCTAATTTAGGTGGTACAGTTTTGTCAAAAGTAGCTGATTAAGTTGAGTGTGATAATCATATTGTACACTTTGATATTGCTAACTGGCCACATAAATTCTGGCCGATAAAAGGACTTCCAAACTTAGTAGTTGGAAGTTAAATGTATGTTAATCCGTTATTTGTATATACAAACTTGCTCATGTAGTCTTACTTGTATTGATCACCGTCTAATACATTCTTATCTGTCTTGTTTGCAGAATAACGAAACATCGGAACTAGAAAATAAACCAGAGAACAAAAACATGTGTAAACGTGGTTGTGGCTTTTATGGAAGTGATCGGTTTAACGATATGTGCTCCAAATGTTATCAAGAAGAAATTAAGTGTGAATCTACTCTAGAGCAGGCCACGCTTCCTCGTCCTACTTCACGTGATTTGAAGGATAGTCGAAAATCACAACGCCTAGATTGCTGTGAAAATCCTCCTGATGATTGTGACGCAGTCCAGTCGGATTCAAGTTCATCTTCTCAAGTGCCTCGTGCACTTAAACGGAAAGCAGACTCTTCAGTTATCCCAGAAACATCCAAAGGTGAGTCATCAATTCATTTCGACTCAATTTAATTCAATAAATTACTATAAGTATTTTTTAATCTTACCAAGTACCACCCATTTTCGGTTCAGCAACCACATGTACAATGAAGAAGTTGATCTTCGAGTTCCAGGTCAATCATTTCATCGCAGTAGATGTCCGAAACGTTTGTTACGCATTTTTGTACATTGTCTACGTGATTTGTTATCAAAACTACTATTTAAAAAAATTATTCCTTTACGTTCCCAGTGGAACACAAGGCTTCAGCTTTGAGGTTTCGGTAGCAGGGGTGTTTATTTTTACGGGATGGGATTGCTAGTCAGGTTAAGATGTGGCACCAATCCATGAAGTCATAAGCTACTGGTATGAGTTATGTGATGAGTTTTCACTTGCCTAGATGGGATCAACATAACCACCGAGACATGTCATTGGGAAATCTAGGTATAACTGTTCGAATGCAGTGACTTAAATATGTAGTTTGTCGTTCTTTTATTTGTTTACCCACTTCGTCTTTCCTATTTTTGTCTTATAGCACTACAACTTTTGGTGATTACACCCATTTTCCTTCCTTTCTTTTACCTGCTACTTATTATGCAGTTATGAAATATGGTAACTCGAACCACACTATGTTGATAGTATCTATAATTTTGTTATTTTTGCTCTTTGACCAGTTCGTTCTTTTTAGTAGTGTTGGTTTAGCGGTGCCTGAACTAATTATCTTATGTATTAATGAAGTTTTCTATCACTAGTCAGTTCTTTATCTAAGGTTACTGATCATTTTAAGTTCAACCACTATTAAATTTGAACTATTCTATTGGTGTACTGTTTGTAAGAGAAATGTAAAGGAGAGTGTTTAGGAGTTTTCGGTTATTGATTTATTCAGTTGGCATTCAGATGAAATATGAACCCTGTAACTCAGTAGTTACTTAATGAATTTCACAATTCCAATCAATAAAGTCTGCACTATTTAAGTAAAAATGTATAGAACAGGTGAACGTGTTTTGAGTGAGTCATTCGATCAGAATATTTGAATAGTAATATTGTTTAAAGCACATAGTTATGATTTTAGCTGCTGAATCCTTGGTTCCTATGCTATTCCACCTCCAGCGACTGTTTTGTATTGTAGATCTTAACAGGTAAAAGCTTGACTTCTGTTGTAGTACATAGAAAACCTTTGAAGTCGAGGCTTATGTAAAGTTTCTTTTTGGGACGGATGACGTCTAAGTGATGTTCTTGAGAGGAAAATTTCGGCTTCTTTGAGAAGAAACTTCTTCGCAGGAACGGTAAGAGTAGTGTTCTACAGTCTCTCACTGATCTTCAGCAGCCCAAAGGATAAAATCTCGCGTCAGGTCTCTTCTGTGTGTATATAAGTTCACTTATTGTTGTGAAAATTGACTACATTCGTCGTTCGACACGTATTCTGTCCATCCCGCTTCGTTGCAGAAAGGTAGTGGTGCTTCTATAAGGAGTGCGGTAGTCGGACATCTTATCGAAACTAGTCATTCCATCTCAACAAACGCCTCTTTCAAAGTAATCTACACAGTAAAGAGTAACCTACCAGAGTCAATAGGCTTTCGTCTTCTTTGCATTGCTGTTACTGCCCTCCTTCATGAAAAATTGTATGTAAATGTGATTATACAGCTAGAGAAAATGAATTCAACGAAAACAGCCTCTTCGCTGAGGTTGTCTTGTTTCTGTATTTAAATAACAAATGTCGTGGTGAATCCAGTCTAGTGGAATGACAGTGTTTCGTCATAATAAATTCATACAATTTGGGAGTGGAAAATGTATAATTCAGTTCTAAGTTCTGGTACGTTTCTTGTATGCAGTTACTATCGGCGTGTTAGGGAAGAACAGAGATATTTGGATTAAATGGTGTTTAGTGTACGGGCTGATACGGTGGGAATGTCTGACTCTCATTAGATAATCGGGCTGTGTTCTAGTTGACACTGTTTCCATGGCTTTAGCTATGTAAAGAAGACTGACAGAGATTAGACAGTAATGTTTTAAGTGCATGACTTATTATAGTAAAGACTACACCTTTTCTTCGCTTGCTCTTCATCTAACATTCCACGCAGCGGATTGAGTTGAGTCTACATACCAAACATTTGTAATTCATTAGCATCAAGCTAAGGAAGTATCTATATTTAGTTCGATTATGCAAAGTATTCTTCTTGTGAAGCCGTCTTTTCTTTCTCATTAAAGAAAAGTGTAGATATGCAGGTATTTTGTGCACCTCCTTAGGTTAAGTGAAGTGTAGTGTGAGCATTGTCAAAGTGACTCAAAATTAAATCACTACAGTAGATATTTGCCGTAGACTACTAGTGTATTTGAATAATGCATTTAGAAGACAAATTTCGCGAGATGATATGGTTTCGTAGTTTCTTTACACAATAATAAAAAAGTGCATGAAAAATACTCAGTTATATAGAACAAAAGTACATACTAATGACCAGGTATAGCTGACCTTTTACCGTTTTATTCCTCAACGGACAATTTTTTAATTTCAGCACGGATCAAAAATGGCTCGTGTGATATTGTCCAACTTAAGTCACCTCAGGCATAGACGTGGTATCCGATTATCGACGAAAGAACGTGTTTACTGCGTACCAGTTCACTCTCTTATTCTTTATGACTTTGAGACATGATCATTGAAAGTGGGAGAACTGAAGAAGCTATCTGTCTTTGACCGTAGACGTTCGCGCTCTGTTTCTTTTGTTAATTGGTATAATATGGTGAGTTATATTGAAATGAGTCGCGGAGTGTCAGGAAAGGAGGCCAAGTCAATTAAGTAGGTTTTATAAAGCTACATCGATTCAAGATAACCAGAAAACGTGTTACGCATGCCAAGTCATCCTTCCTTCAATTAGCTGTGTTAACTTATATAGGGTTGGGTTGTAAAAGAGTCAAATCGAAATATGGTGTCAATTCATAATGTCTTTGACTGTTAATTTAAGTTACTTAGGGGATGTAGACTGCCTGGTAGGTGTCCTCAAAACGCTAAAAACCAATGGCTTGAGATTGTTGGTGATATGGCTAGAAATCGTTTTCAGTGGCGCAAATGCATTCACTCTTTGTAATCGTTTAGACCCATTATATCCTCACTATTATTCTCTACATACTTATTCTTTCTCCCGTACACTTTTATACATTGTAGTTCCCATGAATTTTTCCTTTACCTTTGTGTGCTATATGGAGTGTGACAACTTGGGCTACTGCACTTCTGTGCACAGTTCTACGTTGAAACTTAGTATTTTTGTAGTTTTGCTAGAAATGTATCTGCAAATATAGAGGGCCTAGTGGAGATCCTGAAGTTGATCCAGCAGCGAGGTTATACATTTCACTACTAAACATGAATTGAAAACTAGATTCACATTTCAGCAGTAGTTTTGTTAAATTCACAGTGACGATTTCAATGCTTACCTTTTTCTTTTACCTGAATACGGTATTTGACACCATCATTCGAGACGTATATTTAGGCAGTATATAGCTATAGAGGGCACATGGAAGAGGTTTGTTTCGCTAATGATAAATGAACTTAACTCGAACCCATGTAGCCATGTATTTAGTCTTATTGAGATTTGCCATCCGAAATAATAACTAGTGATTTTCATCAGGACTTTTCAACGTCACTATGCTTATTCAATTTCGTTGTGAAGTTAATTAGAATGTTTTATTTTTATTTATTTATTTTTTTTATTTTGATTTACAGCTTGATTCCACACCGTATTTTCAGTACAAGTATGGAATTTTCAGCATGGATATCGGTAGCCCAAATTCAGGCCGACCATAGATATCGGGTGTGCGCCGGCAGGGGCTCGAACCTCGGACCATGTGCATGGTCGGCGAGAGTCCTAACCACTGTGCCACCGACGCACATTTGCATTTTTAGTTATTATTAACATCTGTTTATTATTTATGCAAATATCATAGTCTCTGTATTTTTCTTCCCATCTGTTGTTCTCTTTAAATGTGACTATCTTTCGTTGGTGTGTTTTTCTCAGAAGGATATAAATAGATCACCGATGTCCATGTACTTGTTTATATGAAATGAAAATGATTGTTTTTTTTGTCCTTGTAGTCGAATCGACAGCATCCCGTCCTGCTCCTCGAGTAAATCGCTGTACTTGGTGTCGTAAGCGCGTTGGGCTGACAGGTTGGTAATTGTTTTCAATTTTTGTAAGGAATTTATGAACAAGTTTTTTATTATGGCGTTTTACAAAACAAAGGTTGAAATGAAGGTAATGTCTAAGAGGGTGTTTTTAGCAGTTGGCAGTATTGTTTATTATTCATTACTCGGTCTGTGAGTGAGTGAGTGGAACAAATAACCGCAGTTGAACAGCTTCATTGTATTTGGTTCTCTGCCATCACTCTCAACTGGCTCCATGACTACTCACATGGTTTTTTCATATCACCTTTGGACGCCGAACTCGTTACTTCCCATTCGGGTTCCTCTCCAGAGGATAACGTGTGATGACTCCTCGACATGCATCCAATCTATCTCCAGTTCTTTGTGTTTTTTCGTTGGGCAATCGGTTCTTAGCTGCTCCGCTGCCGGATTTCCTTGTTGTTTATTCTTTCTGGTTGGCCATCTAATCTTCAGTATTGAGTGACAGCACGTGTTGATGAAAGTATCCAATAATAGCCTGTTGGAAATGCTTTCGATGATGCCCATTGACTTAACATTAATTTTATAAATTAAGATCTTATGCTAAATGCTTTAGATATCCACACTGATTTTGGAGGGATGAACGCAAATGTTGCTTTCTGCATCCCGGTTGGCTTTAGCATCATCATCCGTGTACCATCTGTATGTAGTTGAATTATAATACTGCCTGTTCAGGTAAGTGAAAGATACAATTTCGTTTACATTTGTCCCATTGATTGTGAATTAGTGTTTGTTGTTGGTTGATTATCTTCATCATCTCTATCTCCTCTATGTTATTCACTTTTTTTTTCTGGTTCTGTGACTCTTTCAACTTTTGATAACCAAATGATATCATCAATTCCAACACAATGGGTATCATTCACTTCCGTCTGCTACACAAATCTGCATTACTCCTTGTCTTAAATTCTTATCATTTTGGAACTGTTTCTGTATGAATTCACTTGCTTTTAATGGTATATGTTCAGTGTACACTGTCATTGCCTACTAAACATGACTGACTACTTTTAGTTCAGATCGTCTTCTTTCATTTGACAATGCAGTGCAAGTAGTTTAAGTGATATCGGTTTATGAGTATAATTGTGAAGTTTTACAGTCAACAGTAGTAGTATATATTGCATCCAGTTATGCGAATTTTATTTCGATAGTTACCTTTCAGTATTTTACACAGTCGCATAATTTTTTTGTTAGCTACCAAGCAACACGTATCATGATCATCCACTGGGTCAAACTATGTGAGTACGAAATAGGTATGTCGTAGCACAGAAGCTGTATCTTCACTTTATCTGACAAATGCGGTCTAACACAACATCTCCATAGCATTGGAGAAGTACTTTGGAACGCATAAGACAAATACTATTTAGTCCTAATGATTTTACGGTCATTCTGATACGAATAGAACTCGTGTACTACATTCATTTTAGTGATATTTTAGTAATATTCATATTAAGTGAGCAGTTAATTTTTAATAAGTCTAGTTTGTCATTAGTTTGTTTTTGGTTCATTTCAGGTTTTGCTTGTCGTTGTGATGGACTGTTCTGCTCATTACATCGATACTCTGATCAACATGAATGCGCCTACGATTATCAAGCCAATGGTCGGCTTGAATTGGCTCGCGCCAATCCAGAAGTGCGATGTCCTAAAATCCGCAAACTGTGATCAGGAGCATAATTCCTGACTCTAAATCCAAACCTTTGATATTACCTTCATTCTGGCGACATCCTTCAGGACAATTATATATATATATATATCGACTTTCATCACACTAATTTGTATCTTTTTATGTTTAGCCTGTGTGTTTGACTTCTTCCTACACCGATTGTCTTTGCAAATTTCATCATAATCATCTTTTAAGTATATAAAAATAACTAATTAACTGTATTTGTTAATAGCCAACTATTCATCTATCGCATTTTCTCGCTGACTTTCTTCTCTTGAATGTGATTACATCATCATTTGCGCTATCCACATATATATATAATATTGTTTTGTTTCTTTTCTCAATACTTTTGAATTCTATTTTGTTTCGCACTCTGTGAAAAAACACATCTCTTTGCCAAAAAAGAATAAACAAACAAACAATTAAAACATTGTACGTGATAAATAACTGATACATCATTCGAAAACTCGTGTTGATGCTGATAGCATTGTGATCGGTAGTTTTGTCACTGGATCCACTTTTCGAACTTCTTGTTTGTATGTATGTGTAAGAGTCTGAGTGGGTGAGTGAGTGAGTGTGGCGATGGTGATGGTGGTGATTTTCTTTTGTATGGTCAGAAGTCAGTTGACATCTAAGTTTTTGTGTGTGTGTATCTCTTTGATTTTGCCTTGCCTGTTCATTCATTTTTAGCCTCTATTATATGAATTTTACATTAAAAGTATTTACATATTACAAAAAAAAACCCAGTAGGATTCTTATAAGCAGCGAAGTTTATTGTGTTTTGTTTTCAGTTAATGCACAAATTGTAACAACTTGTACAATCTTTATGTTTGGATATATATACAAATTAATTAATTAATTAATTAGTTGTGAAGATCTTAAGTGCATGTGTATGTGGGGAACTATGTAAATGATGTGTTCTGTGTGATATATTAGTAGGCGCTTGGTGGAGAGACGACGGCAACAACACACATGAAACAGTAGACTTGATATTTTAATTTTGTTCTCAGCTTTTGTCCATCTCCTAGCTCTCTCTCTCTCCCCCTATCTCCCTATGCATATAAAACATTGTATCCAATTGTATTTATCTGTGTTTTTCTATTATACTATTAATAAATTGGATTTATAATCCGTATGTCAGTGACTGTATGTTTACAGAATTTCAGTAATATTGCCCATATATTATATATATACATATATATATTCTGTCACAATCCATTTCTTTTCATTGTGTTTCTATGTTCATGTGTGTGCAAGTGCGCGCGCTCCGTCTCAATATGAGCAGTTTTGGTTTTTAATGAACGGGAAACTTTTTATCTTTGTCATAAGTTATTTCTGTGTGTATATGTGTGCAGGTAAATCCATTTTTAAGCTGTTTAAGGTGAAATAAATATTAAATATGTGTTAACACTCCCAAATTTGCTCATATATATATATATATATATATATATATATATATATATATATAGCTTGCCACTTTGTTTTTAGCTGTTTATTATGACGACGATTGTGATGATCACGGGGATTCATGAAAATCTTAGCGTATGTCAAATCGTGATCAGCATGTAGAGGAGGGTGTTAGGAGGAGGAGGACACCAGCAATGGCTGACCTGGATGCGCGGTAGTGGATAGAAATTCGAGGGTTAGGGTCTGTGCAGCAATCACCATAGTTGTCCCCTATAGTCGGAAATACCAGGGATTAGTTTAACTATCCTTGTTTGAGATATGATAGTTTGAACTGCTGCACGCATGTGTTGTAAAGTTCTCTGCTTGCTAGCTAGTCAAGGGTTTTGAAGAGAAGCGTATTCGTACTCCCGTCTATCGATGTGAAGATACGTTTGTTGTTATTGTGTGGGGAGAAACTGGGGATATTAGTTCAGCTAAGTTGAGTGTGTAGTAGTTGGGAATAAATAAATACTTTACGAAGAGTGTGATAAGGGAATAACCTCTATGATAATTCACAGCTAGGCAGGTTAGTACTAGTAATAGGGAAAACAACAGGCGGAAGGGCTATATTGGTTTTAAGTATCTCGTTAGGTTTAACTGGTGGGCTTACATAACATATGTTTTCATCGTTTATTGCACTTTCCAATATACTCAACCTGATGGCGAAAAAATATGTTGATAATCGGTGAATAGCTCTTCTACTGTATTAACAAAATGTTTCTAAACTATTCATAGTCAAAGTTATGTGGATTTTTCGACATAAGAAGTGCTGCAGTGCTGAGTCCTTCGATATTCCCTGGAGAAATTAAGCATTTCAGTTTCTGACTTTTAGCGTTTAGAAGATTACCTTGTCAGTGTTTCTAACCTTTTGCTTACCATATTTTGATTGAGCGGGAATGATTTTTCCCATCTAGATCCGTTACACACTATGTACGTATTGTTGAGTGATATGAGTAGATGGGAAGAACCTACACAAAAACAGCAGTAGTATTCTCTGCACACTGGCTCGTTTGATGCTGAAACCAATCCACTGGGAATTCAGAGGTAAGAGGACAAAACTCTTAAAATCAGTCGAATTCTAATGTATGTGTACCTCTCTCTTTTCCTTATATGTATTACACTATAGCTTATTTTGTTCAGTCTTGATTCCATTTTTTCTGTATGTTGTATGCAGCAGGTAGTAACACACTTTCGTGTTACATTCGACATTTCAGTACAATAAAGTGAAGAGAAGATTCCAGACGCTCTTTCAAATTGCTAATGTCATAAAAGTTGAAGAAAAACTTCAGGTGTTGTGCAAAAAAGCCGAATTCATCGAAGTCTGCAGTTGCTTTTTTTGGTTAATTATTTTTTTTTTTCAATGAGGGATGCAGACACTTTGTTCTCTAGAGGTATAGATACACCTTTTTCATGGTAGACTTTTTGATCAGCTGGGATTCTATCAAAATTTGTATCAGGGCTTGTTATTAGCAGATTTTTTATTGCAGTTTAACTATTTTAGCTGTCTGTACTCCTTAGTTAAGAGACCGTAGACATCTGTATTAGTGTTAACGTAATGATGTCGGTATGCTAAGAAGTATGGCTGACTGAAAGCGTTTGAACTTCTTGTTGAGAGACTGGGATTTAGTCGATCATATTTTCAAAATGAACACATGAAGTTAGTTGATGGTTTGATCAATTACATTTCAAAACTTCTATTCTATCTTCGTCACTCAGCATCAACAACAAAATTCGGATTTTCAATACAGACGTCAAGTCAGTTCTTCTTTACGGATCAGAAACTTGGCAGGTCACAAAGAATATTTGCAACAGGTTGCAGACATTTATCAACAATTGTCTTCGTTCTATACTCAAGATCAGATGGCCGGAAAGAATCACCAACAAGAAACTATGGGAACAAACAAAACAAGAACCAATCGCCCAATAAATATGCAGGAGAAAGTGGAGATGGATTGGACACTCGCTGAGGAGGCCGCTGGGTGACATTGCGCGTCAGGCCAACGCTCGAGTGGAACCCGGAAGTGAAGCGGCGAGTGGGATGTCCAAGGGTGACATGGAGGAGATCGTGTGAAGAGGAGTTGAAACAGTATGGACAAACATGGATGCAGGTGAAAAGTACAGCAGAAGACAGAAGCAAGTGGCGACGTGCAGTTGAAGCCCTATGTTCCACTAGGAACCCAAGGGAACAATAATAATAATAATCCTATGGATTGGACCTGACGAGTAGTAGTTGAGCACAAAGTTCCCTGCGATAATCAAGTAACTTAAGTTGAACTTCGATTGATTTCTTGGTAGTCGTAGCCATTGTAACCTGGCTAATGAACCTTTGCCGTTCATTAGATAATAATTCAAATAATGAACAGGATCCTTGTGATAGTTTCCACTAGTTTTTGATACGCTCGAAATGGTAATGGAGATGATTTAGTTCTTTGCATAACATTTGAGTGACTTAGCGTCCAGTTAAATGTGATTTCTGTCCAGCATCTCCACAAACATTGATGATTGATTTAGACATTAAGGAAACGAACCTTTTCATTCATTCGAGGAATTATTTTCGCAGCATAAGACATTCATTTCCTTTATCAATCAAATGGTCTTCGCTACTTTTCAAAACGCGAAATGTACTCATTTTGTTTAACAGTGTACGTAAGTGAATTATCTGAACCAAGCATGTACTTCACACCAGTCAGTCTAAAGATACGTTTTATTCATTCATGAATTAAGCGATTCCCTAAAGATAATGGTAGTCATATTTATTCTTTATATTATCGAAGTCTTAACTATTCACATGAAGCCCATTCCATCTACACAAGTGAGCCTGGTTCAATGGCTTTCTATCGGTTTTGATTTCAAGTTTTTATTTGTTTATAGGTTTAATTAGTAGTATAGCCATTTCCCCTTGATAGATAGCATTTTGTTTTATCGATCTCAAGTGCGATACCCATTGATCTTTGTTTCCACGTGTTTTTGCTGATTTCATCTGAATTATTTCTAAATACTTCATTATTATGTGGCCAATGACACAAACTTATTTCCTATACCTTTTGTCTTATATTTTGATCAATCTTCACTTCTTGGTATTTCCGTTGACTTTGATTGATTTATGGTTGGGCTATATTTTGATGCTTTTGGTATCTTGACTGTTCAACCACTTTAAGCAAAAAATTGCTCAGATCTGAACTCAGTTGCCAGAACACGTCTTTCATGTTCTCAGCTATGAGCCAAACTTATTGTATGAGGGTTGCTTATATGTATTGTCCAGGCTGAAGTAGGTGGAGCGGTATTTATATCTGGAGTGCATTGTGTTAAAGTTGAATGCTTAATCCAACTAACGGCGTTTGCATAAACTTACGGATAAAGTTCTAAATAAATGAATAGTTAGTTAACATATTCACTTACTCATGTGGAATAAGGCACATCAGTTGTACCCAGTGTTTGATTTCCAAATATATCATCGAATATTTATCATCATGGCTATATTTCGGAACGCCTAGTTGATTTTAGATATGAAGTGCACTGTCAAACTAATTTCAGGATCATCTAAAAAGTATGT